GACATTAAATGTCTCCATCCATCACTTTCCACTTTATTTGCTGAGGCAGGGTCTCTCTGAACCTGTGGCTCTAAGATGCAGTCAGTCTCACCCCTGTGGTTCCCTGCTCTGGCATCAAAGACAGGCTGCCATGCCCACCAGGCTTTTGTATGCCTGTGCTAGGGAGCTGAACTCCGGTTCTCACACTTGTGTGGTAAGTGCTTTCTCCACTAAGTCTCATCCATGGGCTCTCAGGCTAGCCTATAGGATAACCTTGAACTTCAGATCCTCCTGCCTCCAGTGTCTCATGAATTCCCAGTGCTTGGTTTATGGGGAGCTGGATATCAAAGCCAGGACTTCCTGTGCACTCTGCGCACCCCTCCACCCTAATTCAGAAAGACTAGATGTTCCACACAGCAGTGCTGGTTAAGCTCTCCTTCCCAGTGGCTTGTGATGGATGGACCACACACAAGGGTAGCCACTGTGCACAGTAATCAGAGAGGCATCGGGGGATGAGCGGCTTGTAACTGGGGTTCCTCTTTCTTCAGCCACAGCCACTGTATGCCTGTATGCTCAGCTTTTCACTTTCTTCTTTGTACAGTTGGCCCATCACATCATGGCTCTGAATCCATGGATTCAACAAACCTCAGATAGAAAGTGTTCTCTCAAAAGAATAGTGCATCTGGCAGTTGGGTGTGGTGGTATGCACCCATAACCCAAGTACTTGGGAGGTGGAGGCAGAAAGACCAGGGGTTCAAGGTCAACTTCAGCTATACAGTGAGTTCAAGGCCAGCCTGGGGGCTACATGAGACCTTGTCTTAAAAACAATTGCATCTGTACTACATTCGTACAGACTTTTTTTTTTCTTGTCATTATTCTCTACATAGCAAAGCATGACAACTCTTTATACGATGATTACATTACACTAGGTATTTGAAGACATCTTGAGGTGATTACATGAGGATATACATAGGGTATATGCAAATATTAAATCTTTTTCCATTATTGACACACCCAAGTTGGCAGAACACCTGTATTGGTAACATAATTAAGGAGTTGTTACCCTCCCAAGGTTAAACAGTTAATCTCTACAAATGAATGTAAGTTACATCTCGGAACTATGATTCAGAGTCAGGCAGTGTTACCAAGCATAGTACTGAAGCAGGAGAACTAATTCAAGACCAGCCTGGAGTTCATAGTGAGCTCCAGGTCAGCCAACCTGGACAATAGACGGAGACCCTGTTGTTCTCCAAGGCCCCAAAGCCAAACTCTTACTGTTTCTGATTGCTAAATGCAGTCACTGCATGTGTCTTAACATGAGTTTATCTGGATGCACTGTAAACTGTGGTTTGCAAGAATTTGCTTCAAACCATCCTGCAGCCAGGAAGTCTTTGTGATCAACCTTTGCCTCAGCAACATTAGGTACAGCTCCCTCCAGCTCACATGTGATGCCATGGACTGGAGACCATTGGGGCCTTTAAAGGTCTGTGTGTTAGCTGTGCCCCCTTCCACACTGAGACAAGAATCTAAAATAATGCTTTGGGTTCTGCAGATCAGATAACGACTTGTTCTGTTGTTAATTAGATAAAAGGAGTAGAAAGAAAAATAATTGGCCCCAAGAGGAAGGTTTCCCCCAGAGGACAGCATTGGAAGATGTCTGAGTTGTGGAAGAATTGTTCTGGTTAAGGATGGGCTTTGCAAATGCACACTCTCTTCCCTTTAGTGCCATGACCACCACATTGCTACTGAAACATAAACCAAGATCATCATTCCTCACCCATTAGTCAACCTGGGATTGGTTAGACCCAGTAAATGGGGGATGTCAGGGTCCTCTCCTTTCTCAGCTTACTTCAAAGTGAAAACCCCTACATCTTAAAGTCAGAAGGAATCCCTGAGTCATTTGACTTGCTTCCCTAACAAAGCCAACTGCAGCGCCAAGCATGGTGGTGCATGCCTGTCATCCCCACACTCAGGAGGCTAACGCAGGAGCATCAAGGGCTCGAGGCTGACCTGGGCACAAAATGAAACCAAACCTCAAAGCAAACTACATAAAAATATCCTTCCAGAGAGAAGGTCAAGAACTGACTCAAGCTCACTTCATTTCCCCCCCTCCATAACTTCCTCCATAACTTGAACCCTCAATGCAACTACATTAATTTCAGTCAGTCCTCTCCCAGCCAAGCTTCCTGTGCCCTTTTGATATTGTTTAACTTTACTAATCAGGTGTTTCTGTATGAACCTGTGCCTTCCCAAGATCGTCCCTGAGTAAAGAATAATGATTAATTGGGGATGAAAAACAAGTCCCAGAACAATTATGAAAGCACAATGAAGAGTGCGTCAGTACTGCAGCTCAGCGAGGGAAGATTCATGAGGAAGCCAGAAATCTTCCACTAGTTGCCCTGGCTTGCCTGGAGGTGTTCCTGCACTTGATCCTTTGTGTACTTCTGGGCAATGGGATTAAGCCCAAACTGTTTTGCTTTTGCATAATACCCGGGGTTGTCTTCCCTTACAGTTGATTGGGCAGGGCAAGCAGCAACTTTCCCAGTGCTATGCCTCCACATTGCTTTTCTCTGGGTTTTGCAGGCTCAGGTGAACCCCATCTTGTCCCACCTTTAAGGAAATTGTCCCTCCTATAAGGGAAGGTTGGAGGTGCTGAGTGCCCCAAGGACAGGCCTTCCCAAGCACCTTTGATTGCTCTTCATTTCTTTCCTATCTTTTTTTGCAATGCTGGGATTTAAACCAAGGGCCTCGTGCATCGTGTGTGTATTAAACTGAAACCACTGAGCTGTATCTCCAGCCGCAGTTGAACATTTTTTACACTGCATTTTGTTATGTTCTCATTTTCCTCTTTCTTTTTAAAAATATCTATTTTTTACTGTCTATTTTGAAATAGGATCTTATTAAGTTGACCAGGCTGGCCTTCGACTTGCCACCCTCCCTGCTTTAGTCTCCAAAGTGCTGGGATAACAGGACTGTAGCAGGTTCCAAGTCTTCTGTTGTTTCAGATAAATAATACTCTCTATATTTTGGAGATGGTGTTCTATACAGCTTAATAACTCTCTCTGTCTCTCTGACTCTCTCTCTCTCTCTCTCTCTCTCTCTCTCTCTCTCTCTCTCTCTGTGTGTGTGTGTGTGTGTGTGTGTGTGTTCCTTGTTGTACTAGGTATTGAACTCAGGGCCTTATGAGCACTAAACAGTTGCTTTACCACTAAGCTCCATACATACTCAGCCCTCAAAAAGAAGTCTTGAATAGTGTTCACCTCATAAAGGGATCTTCCTCCTGCTGTAAAGAGAATGCCTTTAAGATGGCCTGGGGGGAGAGACATGTCTAGCCTAATTAATTGGCTAGTTCAGTAGTAATTGCTTCCAAAGTAAGGACCAAGGGCATGGTTGCTAAGCCTGCAAGTATCAACTTTATTCTTGACTGTAGGAAAGGGCAGGTAGGGAAGGCTGAGGCATCCAGTCTCCATAGCAGAGTCTACATCATCCATTCTGGATAAGCAGCCTGTTCAGGAGAAGTAACAGGCAACTGGCATCCTCTAATAGGACAACCAGTTTTGTAAAACATTCTCCTATAAGGACTTTTAATCCAGGACTGGAGAATGGGGGGTGGGGTGCTTGGTTCAAGAGCATGCAGAAGAGGAGAGATAGCTGTATTTTTGTCTATGTAAACAGCACCATTGGAGTAGTACTGGCTTAAATTCAAAGGCATTACGAGAATTCTTATTTTGGTCAGTATCTGTACTTCTTAATATAGTAATGTCATTAATGTTTATCCCCTCAGTCTGTGTAAATCTGAACCTCCATGTTATTGGCCATTTGAAAAGGGTATTGTAAACACAGTCAGTCACCCTAATTAAATTATGTATCTGTATACTGAATGCTTTGTCAGGCTGCAACTATTTCAGTATTCATTCAAAGCCACAAGGCTTTGCCAAAATGAAGTTACCAATGCCAAAATTACCCTCTGTTGTTTAGACACAGCAGACATAATAACCTAATATTTAACAGGGTTGTTTTTGGAAAAAGGACGAAGCCAGAGACTGAACTGTCCTTTCTTTACACTCACAACATTAAAGAAGACACTGGAGCGGCTTAATGAGCCGGCCCCACTCTCCTTTGCTGCTGACCTAAAGAAAGACCCAGGGGAGGGCTCCTCAGGACATTTGTTTGAGGCAGGTGCAGAAAGAGTAAGGAGGAAAGAAAAATGATACGTAAGCAGAAAAACAAAACATGTAAATAAGAGCTGAGGAGGTGACACTCCAGCTCAGGACGGGCGGGCCATTGGGCTGCAGTCTGTGTGCTTTGAGTCTCATGTTCCTACTTGCAGGAAGGGATTGGCAGGCTGTTGTAGTCTATCAGCTGTCAGCAGAGAGTTTGCAGAGGGAGCATGGGTAACGAAGGGTATGCTTTCTGCACGGACTGGAACAAAAGCTCCTTTCCACTGGGAGTCAATACACAGGGCAGAGACTCTTAACTTGTGAAGTGCTGACAAATAGTGAGCTGGAAATGGAAAGGCAATCAGCTGGCTGAGGGGATGCCTAAAACTGCATGGGAAGTTGCATGTGGGTGAAAGCCAGCACTTCAAAGGTAGAATCAGGAGGATCAGAAGTTCAAACCTAGGCTCTGCTACATAGTGAGTTCCAGGCCAGTCTGGATTGCTTGATACCCTGTTTTGTTTTGTTTTGTTTTGAATATAAAGTCATGGAAAAGTGGAAGAATGGAGATGGTTAAACCCTTAACACTGTTTAGATGCAGATCCGAACCGTTTGTGGGCAGAATTCAAGCTCCTTTTTGAGAAGCCATTAGGTCTCATCCAAATTAGAGGGTGTAGCTCACTACCTGCTCATTAGACCCCAACATTCTGTAACACTAGACTAGAGCAGATGCCTGAGTAAGAGGAGAGGGGTTCATGTCAAAGTCACTCCCCCACTACCTCTGTCTTGTCGGATCCCCTAGGACCGGAACTCCTCCCACTGGGAGCGCTTGTTTTGGAAACTGGTGGGGTGTGGCCAGAAAACATTACAATGGAACTGGGATGGAGGAGGTGTGCTTTTATTTCAGATTGTGTCATTTGAGCACGAGTCTCCCGAAACTGCAGCTGACAGAACGGAGGCTGTGTTAGATCCCCTGGGTTGTTAAGCTGGCACACCCCAAGAGTAGGCAACAGAGCAGGCGAGAGAAGCAGTAGAGAAGGGCAGGAAGCCGCACGCTCAGCCCGGCTCATCCCTTCAACTTTAGCTTTTGCTGTGGTGATTGTAACAGGAGGAGGAAGAGCTAGGAGAAACCCCCGAGGGAAAAGAACGAAAGGAGAGGCGAGAAACTCAACTGAAAAGGAGATAGCAGTGGGCGAGTGAAACATCTCTCAGATGCAAACCGGGAGGCCCAAGGAAGAGGAGGAAAAGGCTGGGCTTCGGCAACCTGCTGCTGGGATTTAGACAAAGGAGGTTTGAGAGAGGCGGGATCAGATTCTAATATCAGCTTAAGGAGAGAGCCGGCAGCTGGGCTCAGGAAGATGAAACGGCCGGAATTCACATTAGCTGGAGCATGTACCCCAGCGAGAGCTCCCAGGAAAAAGTAAGTCTGGGAAGGGATCTGCAGAGCTTAACCGGTTCTGACATCTCGCCCCTCTTTAAGGCATGCCTCTGTCCATGCGTTACCTCTTCATAGTCTCGGTGACTACTGTCATCGTTTTTATTGTGCTCTACGTGTTAAGTTTTGGAGGAGATCAGAGCTACCAGAAGCTGAACATCTCAGACTCCGTGATGCTGACTCAGGTGTGTGCATCCTTTGTCAACGGGAAAAGCCCTTTCCTGTGGAGAAACAAACTAATGATCCACGAGAAGCCTTCTTGCGCAGAATATGTGACCCAAAGCCACTATATCACAGCCCCTTTATCTCAGGAAGAGGTAGAATTTCCTTTGGCATATGTCATGGTCATCCATCACAATTTTGACACCTTTGCAAGGCTCTTCAGGGCTATCTTCATGCCTCAAAATATCTACTGTGTCCATGTGGACGAAAAGGCAACAGCTGAATTCAAAGGCGCTGTGGAGCAGTTAGTGAGCTGTTTCCCCAATGCCTTTATGGCTTCTAAGATGGAGCCCGTGGTCTACGGTGGGATCTCACGGCTCCAGGCTGACCTGAACTGCATCAAGGATCTGTCCACCTCCGAGGTCCCCTGGAAATATGCCATCAACACCTGCGGGCAGGACTTCCCCCTGAAAACCAACAAGGAAATAGTTCAATACCTGAAAGGACTTAAGGGGAAGAATCTCACTCCAGGAGTCCTGCCTCCAGCTCATGCAATTGGAAGGACCAAGTATGTCCACCGGGAACACCTGAGCAAAGAGGTTTCCTATGTGATCAGAACTGCTGCCCTGAAGCCTCCCCCTCCCCACAACCTCACCATTTACTTTGGCTCTGCCTACGTGGCTCTATCAAGAGAGTTTGTCAACTTTGTTCTCCATGACCCCCGGGCGGTTGATTTGCTCCATTGGTCCAAAGACACGTTCAGTCCTGATGAGCACTTCTGGGTGACGCTCAATAGGATTCCAGGTATGTTAGAGTCCATGTTCCATGCAAAGGAATACCAGCCGGTCTCCTTATGCACAGGTGCCGGTTCAACCCATCTTGGATGGGAAATATTAATGAAAAAACAATGTATCTGTGTTGAGTATACATAAACTTTCTTGTTACGACTCCTAAAACATTGCAACTTAACAATTATCACATGGCATTTCCACTGAGTTAGGGGTTACAAGTCATGCAGAAAGCATATCACTATACAGGAGGGATGTGTGTGTAGAGGTCACATGAAAATGTTGCACCATTTGATATAAAGGACTTAAATCCACAGGCTTTCATCACCCAAAGGGGCCCTGAAACCAATTCCCCAGGGATGCTGAGGAGTGGCTTTGTTTATAAAACTTTTGAAGAATCTGCCTGGGCGGCAGGGAAGGAATTAGAGATGGAGACTGCAGTGTAGAACCCTCATCTTAGTTCTTTATGAGAGCCCATGATGCTCTTTGTGGGGTCACTCACAAGCAATGCCTTCCCTCATGCCACTGGTAGCTTACATCTGTGGCAGTCATCTCTTATACGGTGTTGAGTTCATACTAGAAGGTTTCCTTCACAGAATTATTGGACTTCATCTTAGCCCAAGATCTTTACCTTAGCCACCCTCCTGCCTACCCCTAGAACCACAAATTTTCCTTCTCACCTGCTAGACCACAGCTCTCAGAGGAGGGCTGCTCTGGCCAACTGCCTGCTCCTTCTCCACCCACAGCCATCTGCCAGCACACTGCCCAGTTTTCCCTGCAAAGAGTCAATATGCATAATGATCATTTATTCTGATTCCATCCGAATGGATTTGTTGCTGGTCTTTTCTATGGGAGTGTCCATGAAGTTGAGGTCATTTTCTGTCTCAGTGACTGCCAGATCCTCAATGAGTAGATCACATAGTAAATGCTCAGTAAGTTTGTGTTAGATAAAAGGGTGTGAGCAAGTGATGAGTGAACAAATGCAAAACATGGGGTTTTACTGTACACACACACACACACACACACACACACACACACACACACACACACGGGCTGCAGAAATGCAGTTAAGAGCACATACTGCTCTTCCAGAGGACCAGAGTTCAGGTAATTCCTGGAACCCATGTTTGGTCTCAACAACCATCTGCTACTCCAGCACCAGAAATCTGACTCTGGCCTCCATAGCCACCTGCACTCACATGCAAACACTTGCACAACAGACATACTCACATAAAGGTAATTTAAGAAATAAATTGTGTGTGTGTGGGGGGGGAAGCTGAACCTTACATTTTACTTAATACAAAAAATGAGATTCCAAGACAAAGCCTCTTCTTTCTCATCAAAATATTTTTACCTTTAATAATTGACTGGACCAGTTATTTTTATTACAATTTTATTTTGTGGGGAGGCAGAGTATGTCACAGCAGTGTCATATTCTATATCTGAAGAAACCAAGTTTGGTCACATACCCTCAATAAGCCAACTAGCACAGCCACATTAACAGTAAAAAGCAAAAAGAGACTTCCTCTCTGAGGCCATAGTGGGAAGAGAGGATGCAGGGTATCACTAGATCTCTTTAACTTCTTAGGGTACATACTGTGACCCTGAGGACAGCTTTTGGGAGTTGGTTTCCTCCTTTCCACCATGTGGCTTATGGGGACTGAACTTTAGTCAATTTTGGCAGCAGGTACCTTCATCTGCTGAGCCATCCTGATAGCCCTCAATCATGTTCTTCAAAACCTATGCAAAATGTGATAGCATTGCTTTGGAAGGCAACAGCATGCTTTGGACTCAGTGAAAAAGACAAATAGATTGCTAATGAGCTAGACAGCACTATTACAGTGAGAGAAAAGCAATCATTGTTCTGTCATTGGGGGAATGCCAAGTTGGGAATGCTGGTAAGTGCTCTGGGGCAGCAGGGCAGGGTTTGCTGGGTAATAAACATAGCCATGTTCTGGAAAATACCGGGGTGGGGGGTGAGGGATGGGGTGGGGATCGGCCAGCTCTCCCTGTCATCTTCTCACCCCTGATCTGTTGTTTCTATTACTGGCACTCGTAATTTGGGGACATTAAGCACTTAGAAGCTGATTTCCATAATTAAATATTTATTCCCTTTCTATTTCCAGTATTCTCTTAAAATTCATGAGAGTTGGAGTCTAGCCATGTGCCCCTTGGGTATGGCACTAAGTGAGATAAGATCATTATGTAACTCCACCAAAGAATGGCCTGTCACTTTTTTTTTTTTTTTTAAATGGAGAAAGAGATGAACAGGTGTGGTGGTACGTGCCTATACTCACAACACTCAGCAGAAGACCAGCAGAATGTGAGTTCAAAGACAGAGCCAGCTTAGACATCAGGGCACTGTCTCAGAAGCAAGGGAGGGAAAGAAGGAGGAAGGGAGGCAGATAGGAAGTTGGGTTTTTGTGTTTGTTAAATATCCCGATTATTTCAGCAAGGGGTGTCCAGTTTGATCCATGCCACATCGGTACAAAAACAAACAAACAAATCAAGGACAAAGGGGGCTGGAGAGATGGCTCAGCTGTTAGGAGCACTGGTAGCTCTTCCAGATGTCCAGGGTTCAATTCCCAGCACCCACGTGGCAGCTCACAATTGTCTATAACTCCAGTTCCAGAAGATGTGACATGCAGGCAAAACACCACTGCACATAAAATAAAATAAAAATAAAAAGCAAGGACAGAAGAATCTCCTTTCTCCCTCAACCTCCTCCCTCTTTCCTGCCAGTCAATAGGCAAGATGAGAGGTAAAGAATGACTGTTGTCACCAGGAAGGTGACATCTACCTGCTGTACTAGTGTGTGGATGCTGGAGGAGGAGGCTCCCTTGAGCCCAGAAAGTTCAGGCTATTCTGGGTATCATAACAAGACCCCCATCTTTAAAGCAGAATAACTAATTTAATCCAGGAGATAAAACCTCTTGGGCTGCAGGTCTTGTAGTGTGGTATGCTAGCTTCTGCCTTCTCCAGCTACAAATGAGAGGTTTGGGCAGAAGAGTCCACTTCTTCCAACATGTGCCATTCTTTGCAGAAGACACAGTCCCAGAACATCACCACATTCCCCACACAGCACCTGTACTCATATGGGTGGCGGTGCTTGGAGCCTGGGGGTCACACTGCCTGTTAGCTTCATGGACAGTGCCCTGTTCTCTACATGAGCTGAGGGAGACATTGTCTCGGCTGAGCAGTTCCCTGTGGAGGAGGCAACTGGCAGTCCATGCCAGTGACACAGCCCATGCATGAGACACTTCCTAGAGTTCTGCCTTCTTCCTTTTCTTGGACAGTTGGGAGCATCCTGGTTTAGAGGGAAAGGAAATCCTGTTTGTTAGGTGGAGCCTTCTCAAATGACAAGTGAAGACAAGTGAATTGGAGCACAAACCTTTAAAAGCACTCTCCAATCTTCACATTAATGTAAAAAAAAAAAAAAAAATCTAATCGTGCTCAGCTAACTCTGGCATTTGACGGTGGGGCCATGTCTGTGATTTAAAATTTGGGGTGTCTGTCTGATTTTCTACTCCCGGATAGCTTTTGATTACATTACCTCCTTGTTCAGCACTGTCACCTTTTAAAGGGGGAGGCTCTCCAATGCCAACCCTTTCTGTGCATGCGCAAACAGTGTCATTTCTTCCTTCAAAGTCCTCACCTGCTTGTCTCCTGAAGACTTCAGTGTTAGTGTTAGGAAGATGCTGCTCAAGTGTATCACTTCCTCAAAACATCCCCAAGAGAAATACGACTGAGAGGTTGAGTTGCATCTGATATGTGTCAGAAAGCAAAGTATGAATCATTTAAGAGGCTGAGAAGAAAGGCTCCTCGGAGAGGCAGCCGCATGTCACATGACAGCACACCGCTCTGGCTTTATTTCTCCATGAGTTGTCTTTCGATGGAGAGGTTGCCTTATTTCTTCGTTTTTAATCACTGCAGTAGAAATGGTGACTGGGTGGAGATGTAGCCTAGTGGTATGTCACTTGTCTAGCATGTGCAATGCCCTGGGTTCCATCTCTAGCACAGGAAAAAAAAAAAAAAAAAGGTCAAGACAACACAAAGCAAAGAGTATGACTGAAAATTTAGCCATACTCTGTGAACTCGTCCTCTTTTTTTTTTTTTTTTTTTTTTTTTTTTTAAATCGGTTCATATAAAAATGAACCAATGGAAAAATATGTAAGTTAATTTCTGTACAAAGACAACTATGAGGGGGGAAAACCCCCACAAGTATCAGAATAATCTCTAAAGACAATGAGAACATTCCAGCATGGTGATATGCTCTTTCTAGTACTCTAAAAGACATTAAGGAAATGGTCTACGGTAGGAAAGAATGGCATGAGTCAGAAAGAGAACTAAAGAATGGGGATGAAACTGAAATGCTACTTAAGGTAAGAGAGCTGGTAGTTCAGCTTGGTGGTAGGACCCTTGCCTGGCAGGCAAGGCCATGAGATAAAGAGGGCCGGGGGACAGGAGGGAAGAGATGGAGAGAGGGACAGAGGAGGAGGGGAAGGGGCAGGAGGTGGGAGAGGAGAGGGAGAGTGATGGTAAGGAGGGGCGGAAGAGGAAAAGGG